CTTATGTGGGATTTACAGTCGCCCTGTTTTGCAGATCTATGCAAAGAATTTAACCGACACAGAGAGTACCGAGATCAAACACTGTCCATAAAACATGGTTGTCACTGTCATGTCACCCGCTGGTTTCTGTACTCTGCATTTTGAAACCTCAATGGCTGTGTACAAACTACCAAATGAGCATCATGGTGTGTTCATGGTGCTGCTGGAAATACATGTGAAACATGACAAGTTGGGAGTATCTGTTTAGGAGGTGTGGTGGTTTTTGGCAGACCTTTTTCCCTCACTTCACATGTGCATTTTAGTACAGTCTGTGAACTAGCCACACCCTTTATCTGCTGATTTTCCCATCCTTATTTTTGTTTTCCTGAACACAGCCGTTTGTCTGGCTGGTGTCATGTGTACACTAAATGAATATTTTCCACTTTTAAATGGGAAAAAAGTGCATAATGGGGCTGGAGGCTGAAGGGGTTGATGGTGGTGTGAAGAATCTCACCACTCATACCAGCGACCGCAGTTTGAGTCTCTCACGGGACCAGATTCTACACTTGGCTTGTGTGAAACTTTAAAAACATAAATGGTTAGGTTCAGGAAATATTTAATAGTATTTAAAATTCTACTATGAGACTAGACTGTACATTTATGATGATTATGATTTTCCCTGACCAAGTAAACCACGACATAAAGCTGTAATTGGATGAGATACGGGTGAGCATATCATGATTTTCCACTCCAGGACTTGCATTGACATTCCTCTGCGGTATGTAAAAAGCAGAATGACTAGGCTGATGCGCTCCAGGTCAGAAATGTTAAAATTAGACTGCAAGCATTTTCCTGTTTACATTTGATAGCCACGAGCTAATCCACGCGATCGCAGAAGGAAGACGTAAATCTGTTGAGCCTAAATCTAGACGTGTTTGTCTCTTTCTGTCGCTCCCTAATCGCTTCTCACTCTTTAAACATCCACACGCGCTATTCATGGAGCTGCATTTCTAAGATATTGGGAATTAGCTGCTGTATATGTGCCACCACTTGCTCAGGAGCATAATGTGCCTTTTTTCAATATGCATATTTCATGAGATGCCAGCCACAGTTTTAAGTGCCCTGTTGTTATATGGTGCATTTATCGCTTCTCTTTGTGCCCGACACAAAAACAGCGCTCCAGTGGCCTGTTTTTAAGCAGGAGCCACTTTGAACGCCTCAAACTTGGAAGCAGGAATATATTGATGGTTTTAATCAAATAACCAGTACAGCTAGAGCCATGATCGGCAGCGTCAGTGCTCATGTACTAAATAATTTCCCAAACATGACATCTCTTTTTATTATTCTGTGCTAATGACTACATCTCATACATGTTTAAACACAAGTCGGTTTAACTAAAAAAAGAGGTCAGTGATGCTCTGACGTGATGAATCCGTTATTATTTATACTTGTGCTTTTGAGCTGTTCTTCCCGCCTCTTATGAAATGACTTTGATGAGGAAGTCATGTGTTCTGGCTTTGACCTGCTTATACAGCTTCTTTGAATTAGAACGGAGACACGTGTCTGACATGCTTTATATGAACTTTTTGCTCTTTTTTGGTCTCCTCCAGGTGAAATAGATCGATGTCTGAAAAAAGTAGCGGAGGG